GAAGATCACAGAATCAATAACGCAGCAGTGGCAGTGGCGGTCCCGAAATTTCTTGAGGGGAGGGGGACGAAATTTTTTTCGTTCAAAAGTTTTTGGCGCCAGGGCCAAAAAGCTTTTGGCTTCTAGAGTTTTTGCGGGCTCATGACCTCGAAATTTTGGAAAGTGGGCATGACGCCACCCACGCACCCGAAAAAATTTCAAGGTTATTATGAATCCTTGAAGAATTTTAAGAAATTTATTTTAAGCATTTACAGGTATGAACAAGTCTCTTGCACATTTTTATAGCCAATGGTTACTTACTATGTAAATCGATATATCGATTTTTTAGTTCCATGGTGTTATTGGCGGAATAACGATCGATGAAGTATCCATTCCACTGTGGGCATTCTCAGGCAGTTCTCCGGAATGCGAAGGAGCCCCAGCACCACCACAACCGACTGTGCGAGGATACATGTTCCGGTATGTTCAATTACCCATTTTTACCACATTTCATAATCACTTGGTGACGCAAACAAATTTAGCGATGGTTTTGCTCAAATGGAACTGGCTACCTTCGAACGCACTGTTTCGTCCCTCACTGTCATATTCAATGCCTATTCGCCAAACGGATTACTGTACTTCCGCGGATCCGAGACTACTGGAGATTTCATCGCTCTGCAGCTAAAAGAGGGTCATGTCGTGTTCAAGATCAATCTTGGTGGAGGCTCTCAAGCTGAACTCACTTCCAAGGGATCTTATTCGGATGGACGTGAACATGCTGTAAAGGCAATACGCAGCGGTGGAGAGATCCATCTTCAGGTAATTAACCAATTTTTCAGCAATATAAAAGTTTTCTTAAACGATCCTTGTTAAAGGTCGACAGCGATGCGGATCGCTTCTCTACAACCATTCCTGGTGAAAACACGGCTTTGAACATCGAAACGGACATGCACTATGTGGCTGGAGTGCCAAACTCGTTCAAGATTGATAGATTCGATACGAATATCGAATGGAAGGGATTCTTTGGATGCATACATAGTGTAAAACCATCACAGGTAAGAAATGGGCATT